TAAGGCAGAAATTATGGGAGAGAATTATGGTGTGACCAGAGAACCTTCTGTGTGTTCTCATGTACCTAAGGTTTTCAACACAATGAAATGCTTATATCTTCTTAGAGACGATGATGTTGAAACAGGTAGATGGAAACCACCTCCTGTATTACATTTTGTGTGTTAGGAACAAGGGCTCAACACATGGCCCAGGCTGGCCTTGAACTCACAGTCCTGCTTCAGTTTCTCAAGGGTTGCACTAGAGTTTCTGAACAATGTTTATAAATTACTTTCTGTTTTATTTGACAACAAAAAGTACGTCTATGTTTTCCCTCATTTTCCTTCATTCTCTCTCTTCCTCCGTCCCTTCTCCCTCTTTCTTTCTAATCATGCTGATTCTAAGGAAGAGATTCAGAGCATGGTAATCTGAGGTCTTGGGCATCTCAAGTTCCCAAGAACAAGGCAGATCCATGTGCTAGACTGCCTTCCGGTTGTTGCTTTACTAGCTATACATTTTTTAAAGACTTTACATTGACAGATTTTTCTTTATTTCCTATGTTGCGATGGGAATAGTAATCCAAAGGTTGTCTTCAAGACAAAAGACAATAATAACAGCCCAATAAAATGTCTAGTAATCTTCAAACAAATCATGCTTAATTTTTTTTGGTGTCCAAAATAATAAAAATGAATGGAAGTGTTTATTATGCAGCAGCAGCAGCAACTAGAATGACAGGGTGACACTTCTAAGTGTCAGCGGCTGTCACTCAGCATCGTCATCACTGACTTCTAAAGGGGAGGTGACAGATCTGGAAGGCAGTGTGGGGAATCCCTCCTTGCTGAAGGCCTTGCGGACACTTAGAAGTCAACCTAATATGACAGAAACATGAGCTGTAAGCGCCTATTATTACCCCTGACTTTTTAGTTGCCACTGGATATGGGGCAGAAGATTGAGAAGGGCTCGATGAATCACTCATCATGCGGCGGCCCCCACCTAAAATAAGAAGCGGCTGAAGGAAGTGCTTTAATTGAGCCCTTTGATGTCTGCAGCAAACAGACGAGGAGCCTGGAAGGAGCCCAGGACCACCTCTCAATGACAGGCAGGTTTCAAATATGGAAAGGATGGGGTAGCAGAAGTGCAATCTTCCCCTCCAGTTGGGGATGCTGTAAATAAAAAACAAACAAAAAACTCGAATATATGCTGCTAGATCCCAAACAGATCCAAACAGCTCCAGGGTGTCTCACAAAACTGTTCTCTGAGCACGGTAGAAATCCATTCATTTCAGAGTCATGATAAAGTAAATGGCTACGAGTCATCTTGTTTGGTCTGTCTAAAACGGTCAGTACTCAGAGTTGAACATATTTGCCATTAGAACCTTTATCTCTGTGTATTTCCACCCTCAGTGAGGACATTTGTGAGAACTGAGCTAACACTTCAGTCATACTTATAGCCATACAATGAGAGGGTAACGTTCACTAGTATTTGTTTCCTAAGGATCCTAAGACCCTTAACTTTCTAACAGGACAGACAGACCCTGAAACTGCCAAGCACTTAAGGAAGAGCTGCTGGTCTTGGACTGGTATCCTCATCTATTTTGTGTCTGAACTTCTAAACTCAACGTTCTGTTCTCACCTGACACACAGAGAAAGCAAGTCACAAAGGAACACCTGAGTATTCTCCTGAAGCAATCAGCTTCTTATCAATCCAAAACCGATGGTCAGAGAGCACCTTCCCCTGTGGAAGCTAATTTTCCTCCTTTAGTTCCCCCAAAGTCCTTCTTTGCAGGAAAGTTATGTGTGGGGGAGTGTGCAAACGTATGTGCACATGCATGTCACCGATCACAAGAAGGCCAGTGCTCGTCTTCCCTTGCTCTCTCTCCACGTTTACGCCGTCTCTCACTGACCCTGAAGCTTAGTCGTCAATTAGTCTAGACTGGACAGCCAATGTGCTTCAGTGATCTGTCTGCCTTTCTCTAGCCCCCTCCATTTCCCCCAGCTCTGGCACTGCTGGTGTACATCACCATTCCTGGCTTTTGAGTGGAGTCCTTCTCCTTACTCTGACCAAGGGAAAGAAACAGTGATTTGGTAAAAGGAGGAGACTGTGCACTACTTGCTAAGGAAGGAATGATGTGTCTAAGACAACTAGAGACAATGGCGCCTACCTTCTCCAAGAAGAAGACAGCAATGCTTTGACTTCTTTCTGCTTATCTCTAAACTTGAAGCAATTGTCTGGAGGAGCCAAGCACTTTTAATAGAAACCAAGCTTTTCTTAAAGTCTTAATGCTGCTTGAAATTTTGAAAGCACCGATTGTGTAAGTGCAGCTGGCAGAAGAGACTTAAGCTAAGGCAGAGAGTGTCGTTCAAAAAGGAAAAAGTATTTATTAATGCAAAGATTGACAGAAAGGGGGTAGTGAAGGAACGTGTACCTTACGGACTTAAGTGTCGAGTCCAGCTGGCGAGGTCAGGCTGGGTTCCCCCAGACCAACTCTCTGCACTTGACTAGGGCAACGCTGTATTGTTCTGAGGGAAGAATTCACCTTAAACTGTAGAGTGGTGGTATGTGTTTAGAAAGAAAGAAAATCTTCCAAGATTTGGATTGAAATTAATTATTTTAAAGCAGAATGGCTCACAAAGTATCTTTCCCCATAAGTGATGGGGGAGGGGGCATGGTGAGCAGTTCATTAGTGGGGGTGGGGAGTGTGGGGAGCAGTTCAGCAGTGTGGAGGCTGTGAAGCCCTGCTGGGACAGCCTATGAATCACAGCCATCGGTGACGTCCTCCAGGGCTGCTACAGACACAACAGCCCTGCAGCAGATCATTTGCTATTGGAACGCCTGCATTAGAACACAATCGCAAACATGTGTTCTTTGTCTGCACCAAGTATGCTTGATAAACGTTGGCCGAGGACCCTGGCTGGCGTGTAGATTTGATTTACTGCATTAAGACTACTTACTATGAATTTTGAGAATGGCTGCATTCAGAAGAAAATACCCCAAATTATGGAACTTGTCTTAATTACTTTGAACTGCAAGTGGGTGAGACTTGAAACCAATGCTTTTCTAACTCTCTCCCATCCTTCCCTGCTCCCTCTCTCATGAAGCCACCAGACCAGTGTCCCCAGTCCTAAAGGCAAGCCAGAGAAGCTGGAATGCCCCTCCCATAAAGCACACCATAAAACTCTAAAACGTTCTCCCTTTCCTTCGAAGGCACCAAGCATGCTGAGCAGAGAGACAAAAGCACATCTGGACAGGCAGGCTCCCTGCCGACCTCCTCAGCTGCCTGCCTCCCATCACACCCTTTGGCCAGCATCGATGAAAGTCTCTCCATGATTTATCAAACTGAAGCAAAAAAGAAAAAAAAAAAGACACGTGTTCTTAGCCTTCTAGGTATTATTGTCCTGATTGCTCCAGTGTCACCAAACACTGCAGAAAATTCTTACACTTTTCTTTTGTGGACCATACTTTTGTTAGAGACTCCCAGCCACAAGCTCTATGATGGATGGAGAGAGTCCGTACATCTCGCTGCCCTCACAATGAGTAAAAGGACCAAGGAAAAAGAACCTATGGAACACCTGCTGTTTTAAGTTTTAGAATCCATTTGGTTTGTCTTCTTCCTTGATTTACAAAAGTCTGGGGCACTTATGAAAATGTTATCTTTTCAGAGATAGCCCTCCTCAGAGAGAAGTCAAGAGGAGCAACTGCAGTTTTATCACGTAGAAAACCGTGAACTTAGCCATATGAACTAATTCCTATGGATGTTTAAAAAATATATTATTTTGTTCTTTCTATGTCCTCTTTCCTCTCCATTCTATTCCTTTGCACCAAGGTATCTGAAGATAATATATGAAAACAGGTGAAGATGAGAGGAGCTATGGAAAAGAGAAATACAGGATGCTAGCAACAAATTGTGTGCCTAATGGAGATATACTTACATCAATTCTACATTATATATGTCTATTACTATCTAATTATATATATATATATATAATATAGATAATAACACACATACTATTTACCCAAGTATAAGGGTATATTTTCTTTTCACATGGAGCAATAAGTATCTTGTACTTTGCACTGTTATCAGAGTTAAAACCAATAAACCATCATATCATGCCATCCAAATACCAACTTATCAAAAGGGACATGGTTGCCTTCTGTATAACCAAAGAGCCAATCAATGGCTATCTATTCAAATTAACCCAAGTATCTACTTTTCTCTTTGTTTTTGTTCTTTATTTCATAATGTCTTATTCTATTGACATTATCTGCTCCACCAAGACAACTTCAAGACACTGAGGAATCCCTAGTGCCCTACCCAGGACAGGACTTATTAAATATGTATGAAGAAAGTTTGCTATTGTATGATCCAGCTCTTGGCCCATCCTTATAACTCCACACATTTCAGACACTTCCCTAGAATCCACAGTAACCTTTCTGTTCATTTTTAACAAGACAGACCACCTCTGCCTTTAGAGAAAGCCTCCAGCTCTTGATGGCAATGGAGCTATCTCAAAATAAGTTAAAAACTCTCACGGGCCCACTATTAAATATTAATTCAGATATAGAAAGTATTAATGTTGGATGTTGTCAACATTGCTTAAAAATGAAAATGCTAAGGATATGAATGAAGCTACTGGGAATGGCGTATTAAAGCAGAGGATCTTGTTAAAGATGCCAGACCTAAACACAGGTTCACCCCACACATCAAGACAAACGATAGGAGAAATAATAAACAGCAACAGGGGGTTGCCTTTTCCTAAGGAGGTGAAAGAATATTAAATAGCCACGTGAGTGACTGAAAGACGGTTATTAAAATAGTTTACATTTCAACAACGGTTTCAAAGTAATGGGAAAATTCTCTCATGGTTTCATTTCTGACATTTCCTTACCTCAGACAAAATGCTTTCTTTTTCAACATTATGATTTAATCATAAACCGAAATCTTAAAAATTTATGACTGGGGTTAGCATCGCGATCCTAAGTAATAACATGGCAAATGGCATTGCACAAAGGCTTAACCTCTTACCGTCAAATCCATCTTCCTCTGACCCCAGCTCATCGTCTGAGCAGATGTTGAGGACATTCACCAGCATCTCAGTGACTGCAGCCAGACAGGGAAGAAAGGGAGGACAGTCCAGTCAGACCTCTACAGCGCTGTCATTGCTCACTAGCCAACTATGCAAAAGCATGCCGTAGGTGAGCCATTTCTAATCTTCCATCCTTACCCATAGCATCTGGATCCGTACCTGCCATTATCCATCATAAATGGAAACTTGCTGTTTGATTCCAGTAACGCTTTTGAAAATTATTATTTCGTCTTTATGAAACCTCCTACCAATACTTATTAAATATGGGTCAATAGAAAGTAGGGGAAAACAAATACTGGATGTGAGGATCCTATAAATCTACAAGGGAGAAAAGAACTGTCTTGGAATTTTGCATTTATTTCCACAGTGATGCTGCCCGATCTAGATTAGATTACAGACTTCTGGTCATCAGGGACTGAGTGAATGCCAGGTTCCTTTTGTTAATTTGTCTAATCCTCTATAGAATTCAGCTTCGTGATAGGTGAGTAGCTTTGCATTTAATAAAAACTGCTGATGGATGAGCTAATGCACTTCAAGTAGATTTGGGAATATTGATCTGCAGAAATAAATATGTTGGCAGAAATATCATTACATTTAGTTTCCAAAAAGTCTCAAAGATACTTTGAGATGAACTAGAATTTAGCAAAGTAAGTAGATGGTAATAGGTTTATAGACCAGCAACGTGCACGCTATCACGTTTAATGTTTCTTGACACTTGCTTGGGTTTTATCAAGCTGTTCATGAGAGGCCCACGCATCATCAGAAACTGTTTTTAAGGTTACACAGCATTTCAGGAAATAATCTTTATGAACCAAAGACCCATGATGAGTAAACGCCAATGGTACCGACATTAATCTAGAGTTCAATTATCAAAGCTGAGCTACATTTTCCAACATACCACTGTTGTCTTTTACAAAGAGCATGGTCAAAACTTGAACAATGAACGGAAGGCACCCACCTAAAGGGTGTTTTGTCATGCCTGGTAGTTGTCAGGCTCCACGCTGTCTGAGTATCCACAGCAGGCAACATCTGAGCCTGTCTGCATGCTGGGACTGATCAGTGCAGGAGCCTGGAGCATGGAGTCCCACAGAGGGGAGGGACAGGGTCACAAGGCACCTGCGATTTACTTGGTCGTAAGGGAAAACCTTCTTCGCTGACAAGGCATTGCGTGCCTTGTGGGAATATTATCAGGTATTTAATTTTCAAAAAATCCCCCATATGTCTTGCAGCTTTTCTCTAAAATTGTATCTGAAGCACAAGGAAACAATCTTCATATACTGTCACGGCCTTCTTCTGGACCACATGGGAAAATGCGTGAGGAATGAGTCAGTGTGTCTGTTAGGCCTGGCTACAGCTCAGGGGCTCCTGGATTTTGCATATCTCTCTGTCTATATGTATATAGCTGTACCTGAGGGAGGGACCTGGTCAATCGTCCTCATCAACTTAGATCATAAAACCCAATATGAAAAAGTTCAACAAAACCTCCATATATGGGCTGGTCTATGAATGCTTCAGCATAGCCAGGGCATAAATTTCATTTTTTCCTCATATAGCTGTATCTACAATCATCAATTGATAGATTTCTTTTTCTTTTTTTCTTTTTCTTTTTGCTGATGTTTGGATTAGAAAAGAAATGAGGAAGTAAGGGAAGACGGTAGAAAGAGAGGAATGGAGGAACAGAAGAACCCAATTCTGAAATATTGATGCAAATCAGCCAATAGGTAACTTTTTAAATGCAAATATCTCCTGTTGGGGTAACACACTAGGAAATGCTCTGTTTGTCAGAACTATGGGTTTGCTGCTTTATCTGTTGTCCTTCGAGATGCTGTAGGCACTAGTCAGTGCCACACAATCATGAACAAAGAAAGCATGACTGCCCTAATTTGTGATGATAAAACATGACTTTGGGACTACATTTCCAAGAGTAAGAAGGAAAGACCGGATAACACTTTACTTCCACTGCTTCAGAGAGTGTTATTGCTCAACAATGGGGCTGTGCACATATTGAATATCCTTGTTCCCCCTGAATCCACGCAGGGCATCAGGTCACCAGGCCAGGGCATGTCCTCACAGCCCTCCTCCCACGGTACAGACCATGAATGCTATTGGTTAGAACACACCATTTTTCTCTGCATGTTCCTGGTGACACTGAACACAGCTCTCGCTTCTCCTGACAGCGTACCTTTCTCCCCAACAAATGGCAGCGACCAGGTGAAGACATCCATGAAATTCGGGAGCCAGTACGGGTGGGGAGAACAGTTGAACTGCCTGATGTTCATCACGTTGTTCTCGTACTTCAACACTGCAGCTGAAACCAAAGCAACACGGGAGGGCATCAGAGCTAGCGCACAGTGCTGGTTTTAAAGGCGTGGTTTTAGTTGACCAAGAAAATTCAACGATTTGAATGAAGCTCCAAACCATGAGGACAAATGGCCTCATCAGCCCGCATTTCCTGACTTATGATCTTTAGCCTCACTCCTTAGAGGAAGCTACTGTGTGCACAATGTGTGAGTAGTAATTTGAAATGACATTATCATTTGAAAAATATCTCTGCAATGTAGTTAAGCAATTATCAAGAATCAGATCAAGAGCCTCCTGTATTCAGGAACATTCATGTCTTCCTATCTGACGGTAAGAAAAAGGGGGCACTGCTAGGTGGGTCTGACATAATTTAGTAATCGCCTCTCTCTCTCTCTCTCTCTCTCTCTCTCTCTCTCTCTCACACACACACACACACACACACACACACACACACACACAATAGCATACCTTTTCCCCTGGTAACAATCATAATAGTTATATTAATCAGCATAAATTATACCACATTTTTATTAACTACAGTAAGATATTTGGATTTAATGCCATATAAAATAACAGAGTGTTGACTCTAGCCTTGACTTCTGAAAGGGCTATGGCAGCCAAGGCCTCCAGAAGCAATACTGCCTGCTTCTCCCTATGGTACCTGTGTCGTTATTTGTGGGCTAGATAGACTCTCACGCAAGTGCGGCTACTCTCACTTCTTCCTGCATTTGGAAATTCCACCCGTGCCAATCCTGGTCAATTGACACAGGGCAAGCAGGGTGCTGTGAATAGTTTCAGTGAAGGTGGAGTTACATATTTCAGGGCGGGCCTCTAGCTTATGGCTTGACAACAGTAACCTATGGGACAGACTCAGGTTAAATTTACACCTGCTTTTTCTACTCACTGTCCTTTCTGTTGCTACCTGAAAAGACACAAAGCAAAGATATTTTCCTCTAAATGACAGCCCTTTAACGACGATGCCCTCACATTTCTGCCCAAACTATATAAGAGTTCATTTTCATTCTCCTTACCCACCGTGGCTGGCAATGCACGGAGAGTATGCCACGACTAGATCCAGAATAATGTAAAATGAGCTGTCTACATTGACTGGTCCAATACAGAGAGTTGTTGTATTACTTTGCATTTTAAGCTGACCTCTATATGAGAAATATGCTCTAACTTTGTGATTACAGATCACAGAACAAGTCTTTAAACATCTATAAAATGCCTTCATTGGGTTTGCGTTTTCACAGCAATGCAGAGTCTCTGAGACAATGCTCTCTTTAACATAGCAATGTTTCCAAAACCGATGCCTCATCTGGAATGTTTCCTGTCGTGGATTTCTATGAAATCCAAGCTCTTTGCCGGGGTCTGAGCCCAAACTCCGTCCTCTCAGTGGAGCCCTTCTTGGTTCTCTTTGATAGACAGATCATGTCTCTTCCTTGAATTCTAAAAGCTTAGACTTACATACAGATGGCAGGGAACATTGATAAGGGTCAAACTACATATATGTATCTAAATAGGCTTTAGGTTTTCTTGTCTCCTGTAGCATTTTACTCAGACTTGATCTGAGAGGCTGAAACAAATCCTCCCAACCCTTCTACAACATTCAAGCAATGGCCCTCATCCCACCCTTTTGGTCTCCTCCACGGAAGACTTTTCACCCTATCGTGGATCTGGATGCATGCCAGATGGCCAAGGAACTGAAACTGTGACTCAGGACCAACACAGTCTTTTCAGTAGGCATGATGAGTGCCCGGACTCAGAAAACACACATCTTTTCGTGTTATGATTTGCCTACTGTAAGCATTAGGCTGCATTTTAAAGATGTGGATGTTTTTAGCAACTTACAGTTAACTTGTATTTGTGTGCAGGGAGGCTTGTGCTTTGAATTATAGACCTAGTTGATTAATATAGCTCCAGAAAACATAGAATCAGACACTTTGGGAACAGAGATGGTACAGTTAGCATAGACTGGAAGGGAGCTGGAATTCTCCTCTTCTGAGAGAATATGGAATCCTGCATACATTTCTGGAAATGGCCTTTTTGCACTGTCCTATTATTTATGCAACACGCCATTTGCCAAAAGCAAAGCAAAACAACCATAAAAACACCTTGACAAATTACCGTACCCACATTTCTGATCTTCAGGACCAAGTATTTTTAGTGTCCTACATTATTATCTGAGCACAAGATTCATGCTAAGATTTTTACAATTTGTTACCATTGCATTTGTTTTAATATCTTCAGAAGAATCTTTCAGGGTTCAAAGCTGTCTTTTCAGAGTAATTGTTCCTTAACCCCCTCCCACAATGTTTTATTAACACCAGGTGGTAGTTTAGCAGGAGAAAAGAGACACACGGGGGGGGGGGGGGCTCGCCCTTGCTAACCATGGATTCCATACACATGGATTCCACCAAGCCTGCCTGCAAAGGTTGGGTGAAAAGGAAAACTGCGTCAATACTGAACTTCTCCTGCCATCGGTCCCTAATCAGTTCAGCGTAGCCGCTTTTCACAGGGCACTGCCGCTGTGCCCGCTATTATAAGTGATATGTGACATAGAGGATGATGTCTGTAGGTTAAGGACACACTGCACCATTGAATGTATGGGTCGTGAACATCTGTGGATGCTGGTATTCACACAAGGTCTTGGGGTCCATTCCTAGTTAGGGCCTGAGCAACACTGCCCTGGATGGAACACAGGGAGAAGCTTTATGAAATACATCACTAGATTCTCAAAAGAAATCTGAGAAGCAGTGTGTGTGTGTCGGGGGGGGTAGGAGGAGGAAAAGAGAGTGGAGAGGGAGAGGACACATGCCCTTATCTGCAGACAGAGCAACTGCACTGGGGAAATGGAGAAACTTGCTCAGATTATGCAACCAACAACAGACACATCTCACCCCTTTCTCCTCAGCTTTTCCTGACACTAAACCCGTTCCTTTCCGCTATTCCCCGCTGTCCTTCATAAATTATACATGCACGGATGCGAGTCCTAGCTGTGATACTGATTTAGCTTTGGATGTGGTGTTCATGTTTAAAGATGGTTCAACTTTTGCCAAAGTACATGCTCGAGCAAAACGGGATGCAAGTTCCCCATCGAAGGCTGCCCTGTCGGTGAATGAAAGAGAGGCTGTGTTCTGTGGAGCAGCGAGGCAGCAGTGGTTCGTTTGTTTCAACATCAGCTTGTCACGGCTTAGTTCAGGACCTCCTGAGAAGGCTATGACCGCTTATTTTGTTTACTAATGATGGGAATGATACATGTCAATAGGAGTACACTTAGCAACTGGGCATAGCGGGGCACTCGGTTTGGACCTTTATACACATAATCACAAATCACCATGTTTGACTGAAGTGTTCTCACCATTTCTCCTTGGGAGAGTAAGCAGAGGTGAAATGAGTGCTCGTCCACACTTTCAAACAGTAGAAGCCAACTCTGGCCTAAATACAAACCATCTATCTCGCATATACACACAGTCGCCATAGCAACACAAAGCATTCAATGCCGACCAAAGTTTGGACAGACTAGTTTTCCTTACACATTACTCTCTAAAGATGAACAGAAGTCTGGAAGGCCAAGCACCTGAACAACACTATTTTGTCACTAATTACTTCAGACATTCCAGGGTCACTTAATGTCTCTAGGCTAAGTCTCACTTTCCTTCCCTGAACATGAGAGTTTATCTAGAAAATTTAAATGAACTCTTTCCCACTTATGTGGCATTAATAAAATTTTAGAAAAAAAAAACCCTCATAATTAATACAATGACAGATCAGTGTTCTCGGTGATTCTGTAGGCTATTATTATGGGACTTTTCCTTATTCTCTGCATAAAAATCATGAATTTTAACTTAAAATGCAGACCATCCATAGATTTCTGCATTGACATGACATAGTCGTGTTAGAACCCTCTGAGCAGCTCACATTCACAAGTTACTCAAAAGCTTTGACATTTTTGCACGATAATTATGTATTATCACAATACATAAGAAAACAGCCCCATAAGTCTGAAACATCTACATTCACAAAATTCAGTTAACATTTCATCTTCCACCTCCCACATCTTCCTTCTCTGACACCTGCCCCCGCCTGCCACCAATTACAAAATTCATCTGGAGTCCTGAGAGTGTGCTTCTCTCTGAAACATCTGAGACACACGTGCAGTGAACAAAATTCAGATGACTGTATTTGCACAAACACTGGAGACACCTACTAAAATTTTTGGGAGAAACAAAGAAAACAAAACAAAACAAAAACCAAGCGTCCTGTCTATCAACCACTGTCACTTTTCCAGGACGTGACGTCACTTACACGTGTCCCAGAGGGATGCAGAGACACCGTGACATGTTTGTGGGCCTGAAGTTATTTACCGTGACTTACAGCAGACCAGACAGCATGGAAACAAATGGCTCTCTCTTGTGGCTGCAGATGTGAAAATCTGCCAGAAGAGACCCCGATGCAGAGAGGGAGGACTACTAACCCTATACATTTGGAGGCTCGTTCTTCTTGTGATGTCAGAATAAATCATTTTAGAATTATGCAATTACTTGGTCCAATCATTTTCATTGCACCTGAAGAAGTTCATCTTCAAAGGCATGTTTCCATATATTTTAAAGTAGCAACCAAGGGCTCAGCACTGCTTGTGAAATGGATACTGGACTTTATTTACTTATTATTGCGATTATGGCAAACAAGGCAAGGACTCTACTGTGGGGTTCTACCTTAAATACTTGACTACTTTCTGTAGCATCAATGGCTCCTTGCATCCAGCGAAGCGCAAGGAAGAGAGTCCACACATCATTATGTTGCTGGGCCATACCACACACCAAATCTCTGAACCATAGTCAGATCCTTAGAAAAGGAAGTTTCTGTGATTTTAAAGTTGTTAGGGCACACTATGACACCAGTGTCTACCTCTGACCTCCACCACGTACACACACACACACACACACACACACACACACATTTCACTTAATAAGAACTTTGCACAAGTTGTCAACATCTTTTTCT